CAACCTTCAGCCTGGAGAAGGTCAGCAGCCCCATTGTTTTAAAAAGGGAGCTGGTGGTGAATCCAGTGCACACAGCCACCGAACATGTAAGGATGATGGTTAGTCAGGAAGAATCAGATTTGATTTTAGATACAAATGGACCCTGTAACTATGACTAATACAGTTTTTTACATATAAAGTCACTGAACATGATGCAGAAGTCAGAAACCCTTCAGATGTAGCTGTGGTCGGATGAAATGTTTCTGCTTGTGAAGCTAATTGTGGGTGTCTTTCCAGACAGGACTCGCTGCTCCCTGGTGAGCATCGTCAGCCATTTGGGCTCTACGGCTCACAGCGGTAAGTGTTTGCTTGTGTTTCGTTTTTTGAAGTCACACTTCAAGATGTAAGAGTCCAGCATGTTTTCAGACGTCCCATTAACAAGTGTGTCGTCTCCTCCCAGGACATTACATCTGTGACGGTGCTCACAGAACCCAGGAACCCGGTGACACAGCAGACTGTGGGCTCACCTACAACGACGAGCAGGTCACTGAGACAACATGCATTTAATTAAGTGGTTTTGAGTGCAGGAGTGCTGGTTGATTGCAGCAGTCATGTTGTTAATCCTACTGTTAGCTGCCAGAAAACAAACCAGCAGTTTGTTTCTTCTCTTTTATTTCCTCAGAGGTGTTGATAATTTTGTGTCGTTGTTGTGTTGTAGTTGTAGGACTCTGAGGAAAATGGAAAACGATCCAGATGTTGCATCAACAGTAAACCACTTGGAAATGTTGAAGGGTGCTGTCCGTTGCAGTGTTGGAATGATTTAACAACACTATTTATGTTCTTTTCAGCACCGAAGGAGTCCAACAGCTGAGGACAGACCTGGAGGAAGCTGCAGCATCACCTGCTTGTTCTTATTTAATAAATGAATGTTTAAAATTTGAGCTCAAGACGCATTAACACATACATTTAATATATTTATTCTATGTTACTGATACAGAAAAATGGCTGGAGACTGTTCAACAAACCCAGGCTATGTTTTCATTATCTGGCTTTACTCTCCGGCTATGTTCCAAGAGAACTGATTAGTCAGTCGGTGTTTTAATGAGTTGATCTGTTATCTGGAACAAAACCTTCTCTGGAGCAGGTTAGGAGTTCAGCATCAGTTGCCATGGTGATGTTTCTGGTAAGATGTGAACCACTGTTGTAGTGCCGAAAACTTAAACCTGAAATTACTTTGCTAAATACAGATCCTGTTTGATAGTACAGGCCTCTAGTAACATATTAATAAAACAGATTTAAATGAAAAACAAATAAATAAAACAGCAAACCTGATCTACAAATTACAGACTCACATTCTGCTCCCACCTCCTCTCCCTGTACTAAACGCCAATGTTTGGTCTTTTCCAATATCTGGAATGTACCATCTGTAAGTAAGTTAGACTAATCCAAAGCTTTTCTAGTGCACAGAATTACAAACACAACAATAGAGTTACTTAGTAAAATTACCAGCAGGGAGTTCTTTATTATTGCTGTCAAAATGTCACACTCACCAGAGTACTGACTCACAGGTTTCTTAGTATAAATTCAGATTTTTAATGCTCATTATTTGTTTGGTCAAACAGTCAGACGGCCTATCTGATTTTGAAAACAAATCAAGCTCACCTGAAGGTCCAATCAGGCTTCATGTGAGCCAAATATGGAGGATAGGATGTTGAGATTAATGAGACAATATTTAGTTGTGTGAGGATCTACCTGCAGATATCAGATAATAGGAAATAACACTGCAAATACATTAACTATCATTTAATATGTTCTGGCCCAATGCTAAAAGTCAAGCCTTTTGTTTTTACAGTAAAATGTCCAGTAATCAGATTACAGTAACAATATAACCAACACAAATTTCTAACCAGACTTCCAAGTTATTATTTAGTTGGTACATCTTTGTAAAACTTACAGGTGTATTTATATTTGTGTTACTGCGACTTCTTGTTAACACACAGCAGAACTTAATATAACTAATGACATGACGACAACCAACTGGCTGCACATGTGATGACTTTGGGCGTGTACGTGTTGAGTACATGCTGTCTAACTGGTTGTGCCCTGTTTGCCTCGCTTGACTTACAAATGATGTGAAACAGGCATGTATTAAACTACTTCACAATTGTAGGTATATATATTTTGGCTATATTTATGATTTTTGGTGGTTACATGTTTTAACTTTCTATTTAAGGCAGGACAGTGTGGGGAAAAAAAACACTTTTTTACATACTAGTCAGTTTTGAAATTTTGAGCTATTTTTACACGTCTTCTTTCAAATTAGGGGAAAGAAAACACCCACAATATATATGTAGATGTTTGTGTTGATATATGTAGATGTTTTAGTACAAGTTAGTGCTTATTTGATGAAATATTGCCTCATCTTCATATTTAAACATTCAATTTTTGAAAATTTGCAATACAAAAATAATTGCCTTCATATAAATAATCATATGGGAAGGTTTCATGATAGTCTTTTAGTTTAACCAATAAATACGGGTTTCCAGTATTAAATTAAAGAATTCTACATTGCATATTTTAAAATGCTGCTTTCTCAAAATGTTTAATTTTTCGGTTACTCTGAGCCAGAGAAACATTCCAGTTTTATTTCTGTCTGTATTTGGAAGGGATTTTACAGGGATTTGTTTATGTATCATTCACAGCCTGGTTTATGTAACATTTTATTCCCAGAAATCATCACGGAAATTGATTTGTTTCTGGCTGTTGACGGTATTTTCTGATTTATGGAGGGGAAAATGTGAAAACCTTTGACTCTAACATATCAACACAAGGTAACAAGAATTTTGAATCTGGCTTTATCAAATGCTCAGATTTGTTTTTTCGAAATTAATGCAGAACAAGTGCATTTTTTTTTAGGTATATAATACCTCACTAGTGTATTTAAACCAATTCAGGAAACTTGTAGTGCAGCATATTGCTTTCTTATAGTAAGCAATCAACCGGGGAAGAGTCATGTTGAAATCTATTCGTTAAAAATGTTACCCTTTTCATTTGTAGTGTCTCCTAATTTTAAACACCTTGGGGCACAATAGTTGTTCATATTGTTAATGCATGGTGCATATTATTAAGTTATTACAGTTTAATTAAACTACCTCACAACCTACCAGGGTCCATGTAATTTTCTTTTATACATACATATATATATATACTTTGGACCTCTATGTGGGTTAATTCGGCCCTGATGTGCAGTCGTGGAGATAAAAGATTGTGTGTCTGTCAGCAGATGAAGCTACTTTTCCATCTGCTGTGAAATGCCTAATTAAAACGATACTGATTCTGCGCAGTGCGCCTCTCCGTGCTTCATGACGTAACTGACGTTCCCTGTCAGAATCCAGGAAGTGGGTCGCTCGCTGTTGTTTGTGTTCGTTGGTCGCTCTTCGTGTCTGTTTTTCTGATTCAATTCAGCGCTTTTTGCGGGACGAAATGGCGACGTTTATTTCAGTCCCGTTAAAAAAATCCTCTGAGGTGGATCTGGTGAAACCGCTGGCGAAATTTGTCATAGCTTCATACCCAGCGGCCGAGGAGCAGGGAGAGTATGTCCGCGCCGTGGAGGAGCTCAACAAGCTCCGCAAGAACGCGCTGGGAAGGCCGCTGGACAAACACGAGAGCTCCCTGGAGATTATTCTCAGGTAAAAAACCGCCCTGTAACACCTGAACCAGCTGCCATTTGACTCATGCTCCGAGCGACCGTCTTACCGGTGGCGGTGTGTTAGCTTAGTCACTGCCGCACCCAGCAGGGTTAGCTTTGAGCTGCTAGCACTGGAGCTAAAGTTAGTAAAGCTAAAATGCTAGGAGGCGATTGTCCCCGAAATGACTGAGTCATATGTCTCTCCTGCCAAGTTTGTCCTGCGAGGATAATTCACACTTGACATGTTAGCCTGTTTAACTCAATTGCCACGCACTTAGCGGATAAAGTTAGCCTTGCTAGCTAAGTTGTCATCTATAGGCCTGCTCACTGAAATTATTCAAAAAAAACTCTGCATGTTTTACTTTAGCATTAGAATTAGCTTCAACATTCAGTTTAAACTTTATTGTCCCCAAAGGGAAACACAGAACACATACAGGCCTGGAGCCAAAACACAAGAAAATACCTAAAACATGCGCATAACAAAACAAAACAAATGTCAAACCTTTGCTATAAGAGACCATACAAGTTCAAGAAGGACTGTACGTGAATGTCAGCATATCATAAAATCTAAACATCGTTATTCAACTTCATCATAGTGGTCACTGTCATCTAGGGCTGCAGAATACTTAATACAAGACTGGCATTGTTTTGTTTTTCTGATAAATGAATACATACTGGTATTTTTATCTGATGACCTCAGGGATCGGAGATAGCAGTTTGCTTTGGGTGACACTCAGGTCAGGCTTTGTCTCACAGCTTCGTAGTACTGATTCAAATAGTTAAACAAATGAGTTGTGTGGCCTCCTTTAGTATAAGACACTGCTGACAGAGTGCCCCTTGTTGGTCAACATCAGCTTTTCAGTGGCCAAATTATTTTTATAGAACTGACACTGTGTTTTTGTTGCAACTAAATCTTCCCTTTCCATGTTTCTCTACTGTTCCTTGCTCATTTTGCTGTGCACACGTGGATCCTGCATGTCAACAAACTCTGTATCTCGTGATTAAAGTAGACAAAATTAAAAAAAAGAAAAGAAAGAAAGAAAGACCTGTGTATCTAAGAACCTTGGAGCAGTGATCTTGTACAGACTTTTCTTGTAAAGTCAATGGGCAATGCAAATTTTCTTCATGTATTAGTCACCAAAACTTACCATCATCACCTGCCAGTTTCCATATGTAACAAGCTGACAAACATATCCATAGTTTAGTTGGATGCAGATTACAGAGATTAAAGTCTGTGTACTTAGGCTTCCCATTTAAACTTCCCAGAGTTGAATAAACTATGCAGCTACAGAGCGCCAGCAAGGAAAGTCCAGGCGTTGTCAGTTTTCCTGTTGGTCAGATGTCACATACAGTTGAGGAAAAACAGTGCTGCAGTGTTAACCGCTTTGCATAGAGGAACTGAGACCTAAATAGGATTGATGTTTGTCAGACAAAGTTCCTCTGTGTCCCTTGCGCCATTAATGTCACCTGGCTGTTAACTGATGCCTTGCCCTCATGTGACTACAAAGACTTATGATTGTTTAATGAGTGAGTGTTAATAGAGAAGACTTGACCAAGTTCGTGTAGTTCTCATACACCACCATCATATCTGAAAACCTGACTGTATATTAACCAGCATGCCCCACTTATAGGTGATACATAGGTGCAGACTTTGCCCTCTTTGATTTCAGTCTTTGTTCTCACTCACTCATGAGTCATTTTATGCACAGGGTTTGTCCAGATAACTTGAAGACCTGGGTATCGTTTGAAGGGTCCCGGTTTTCCATTTTTTGTCACTGTGAGCTACTTTGCAGCCACAGTGGAATTTTTTCGCAAGTGGCAAGTTCAGGCTCTTTAGCGCTTGAAAGATAAAACCAGCGCAAGGTGTTGAGTGCTAAAAGCTAAAGTGGGAATGCAGCCAAAAATTAAGTAATGCAGAAGCTCTCCTTACCTTTAGCCCGATAGGCCGCTTCCACTCATGTGACTCTGTAATGCTTTTCTGAGCGGCGCTGCCTGTCGCACCATGACTTCATGGTCACGTCTGACCAATTTCCATTTTCAGTCAGTTTAAATTATGGACGCACTGATCCAATATACCACATCAATATTGGCTCCGCTTTGAAGTTGTCACTGCAGTCTCCTCTTACTGTACATAAAAATAATCCCAGTACAGATTTAAAGTTTGGGAAAAAAAAGAGAGAGAGCTGGTGTCGGATCCATCACACTTTTATCGGTAAAAAAAATAATTATGCTACTTTTTAACAACTGGCCATGAAAAACAAATGAAAATAAGATTTTTAAGGCGTACTCTGGCTCATTTACAGGTACTTTTCCAGATTTTTGATGCATATTGTTCATTTGGTTTTTATATTGGTTTTATACTGGTTTTATGTGTTGATAGGACAGTGTTTGAGAAGAAGAAACTTTAGAAAAAGTTTCTTGCACATCTTGAAAATGATCACAAAACATAAAAAGATTTGCTGACAGTTTTTTTCTGGAGATATAACAAATTGACCAATAATCTAAATGTTGATAATTAGAAATCTGTAGATGTCCTGAGGTGGTTTATGTGTTAGATACTGTGTCTGTGGTTGTGGTCTGGCAGGATGAGTAGTCAGGAAAAAGCAAGAATGTCATACCACAGGAAGTGCAATGTGAAGTGAGGCAAATTAACTCAAACACGTCGTGCTGCAACTTTTTTTTGTCGCTCGATACAAAAGGAAAGCTTGCATGATTCTCATTTTTAATGACTAATCTACAAGAAAAGTTTGTCTGATAGAAAATAATTCACTCCAGTTTAGGGGTTCTTGGATGCACAAAGTTTCTTTAAACTTTCTTCCAATAACAGAGTTTGTTGTCATGCAGGCCCAACATGTGCTCCAGCAATAGGAATCAGAAACTGTGGAAAAGAAAGATTTGGTTGTGAAAATAAAAGCAAAGTCAGCTGTATGGAATTAATTCGGCTTTGGATTTTGACCAAAAACAAGTATTCTGTCGGCAGTGTCTTGCAGTTATTGCTGGTGAACAAGGCAACATGATGAATTTGCCTGACTATTTACATCACCAGCACAAAGCTCTGTATGATGAGTTTAAAACTAAATCTGAGTACCGTATAAACCACAAAGTAATTCTGGATATCTTGTTCTACCATGTAAAAAAGGTTTACGTTTTTTTTTTCAGTGTTTCGAAATACTTTTTTATCTAATATGTAGATGCACTCCCCTGTCATTGTACAATGATTAGTTCTTTCAAAATAGAATACTTCAAGTCATCTGGTGGAAACCCATGTACGTTTTCATATCGTATCCTATCATAAGATTTATCGCAAAGAAACAAAATAGCACAATGTCAGTTTTTTCCAATAGAGCGCATCCCTTGGCTCGCTGCACATGTTGTCTGTTAGCCATATGCCAGGTAGCCGTAGCGACAGGCCCTCTCCCTTTCACACCGAGCAGACACTGAGTTATTGTGTCACCATGGTGACCATTGTTTGGGTAGGACGTTAACCTGTAGGCACGCCTCATCTCAGTTTTCCTCTGAGCCTGTGTGTGTGTGTGTGTGTCCTTTTGTATTTGCATGGGAAACAAACTGTAAATGTGAGTAGTTCTATACGTGAAGCCAGATTTGTATGTTTGTAGTCAGGTCCACAGGAGTAAAGTCCATGAACTGGTAAGAGGGGATTTCCTAATTTGCCCCTCTGCATACTGTCATTCCTAATTATAGACCACTCACGTCACAGGCCACTGATACAGACACTGATAGCATGAAGAGCTGAGGCGCTGTCACTGGCTGCGTGCTCGCCTGCTCTGGTATTTTTCCTGACTCATTGTCAAGTGTCTCTGTAATGACAAAGCTTCCTCAAACCACAGATCTGCAGTTATGTCATAATACACTACACCTCTAGCTAGCTAGTAAACTAGAATTCACAGCTTACTTTTTGTCTAAAGTCCAGCTCAGTAATGATCAGAATAAAGATGTTTCTGTCTTGTGAATTGAAATGAATTTTTTGGTTTAGACACAAACAAAACCAGAGTTCTAATCCTGCTGTTACTTTCTCTCTACAGATACTATGACCAACTGTGTGCTGTCGAACCCAAGTTTCCCTTCTCTGAAAACCAGGTAATTGATTATACAATGCATAAGACTGTGTTACACTTAGTTTCCTAACAGAAGCACTTGACCACAAAGTGTCTCTCTGTCTCTGCAGCTCTGCTTAACCTTCACATGGAAGGATGCCTTTGATAAAGGATCGCTGTTTGGCGGCTCAGTCAAGCTCGGTAAGTGTAGCTTCTTATCAGGTGTGTTTGTACATCTGAAAGTATATGTGTCCATGTAGCAGTCTGTGCAAGCAGTAAATGCAGCTGGCTGCAGAAGGAGGAAATAATATTCCAAGGCGTAAAGCCAAATTCTAATTTTGCCCTTCAGGTACATATTTGTCATTCTGTCTTTTAATCCTTCTGTCTCTTTGTGTGTTTGTTGGTCTTGCACACACAGATACGAACACACACCCAATATGAAACAAAGCTTTCTGACAGTACATATGTCTTTGTTTTACTTTGCATTCAGAAACGGGCCTGACAAGATGTCATATAGAGTTTGAAGACAGATTTAAAACAAAAGTGTACGCGTTCAGTGTAATTCAGAGACAGACATGCCGTGTTCCAAACACATTCATAAAAGCTGTGTGAGCTCAATAAAAATTGATTATTCAGATTGCTCTTCATCGAAGTCCCAACTCTTCACATTTATCTTGTTCACACTTGAATCTTTTGTCCTCTGTGGGGACTTGTGGGAGTTCATGACTGGGATTCTTGTCAGTGAAATGTTGGCGAGAAAAATGAAGAAATAGAGATGTCGGCTGGAGAAAATGCCAACCCTACACAAACAACTGTTTCCAATAAACAGGAACTGGTCAATGTCTGACTCAAAATTGAAAGGATGACAGAAAGATTCCACTCTGTCCTCTGTGTATCATCATTTCTAACAGCAGGAAATCAATTTTAATGAATCCTAATATATTTAGTGGAAAATTTCCACTGTTCTATGAAAGTGAAAGAGTTCCCTTTAAATAGGGCTGAACAAATGACGCCTTTTAAATTGGGATTATAAGCAGTGAAATTAGCAAATTACAGAGACTGCATTTTAGGATATGCGTTGACCCAGGGTTGAAAATGTTGTGGTGTGATATCATATAACAAATTCATGCGTTCTCCTCGTGTGACAGTCACACGATGGTGTCTCACGAGGTAAAGCTCCATCACATGTTTTAAATCTATTTCATGGTGAATATTAAACTGAAGCTTGACTTATAAAAAAATATCACAAATCATATAACAGTCAGAAAAAACACAAAGGAATAGTTTCCCCCCAAATCGTTCACCCCTCGCTCTGACTAACAACTCCTTGTGTTTGTTTTTGTGCTGCAGCTTTGGCCAGTTTGGGCTACGAGAAGACGTGCGTGCTGTTCAATGTCGCAGCTCTGGCCAGTCAGATCGCTGCAGAGCAGAATCTGGACAACGACGAGGGACTGAAGGCTGCTGCCAAATACTATCAGGTGGGTGGAATACCACACAGTGTACTACCTGCTGGGAAATACCGTATGAACTGTATTTGTAGTGCTTTTCATGCACAGGAACAAACAAAACCAAACACAAACCCACATCAAACCAGAAAGTTTGGTCAAGCTTTACCGTTCAGTCAGATATGTACAGAAGTACTGCAGAGAGTACATGGAATGAGTTTCATGTTAAAATTCTAAATGTCCCCTGTGTCAGAAGTGAAGTGTTTTCTCAGGGAAATATTGAAAACCCTGTGGAGAACTTCTACAATCTGTACGGCTACAATTATTTTACGGCTGTGCTACTAATTGTGTGTTGTGTCTGCAGCATTTTATCCTCATTTTTTCGGCTGCATTTCCTCAGAATACATCAGGAGAAACACTAAACCGCTCATCCAGCTTCTTCTTAGACTTCAGGGAGACGATGTAAACAAAAGAGAGGAAGTAGTTTCATAAGTGAAATGCATTTTATGTCAGTATCTGCATTAACATTCACTGATGAGTAAATTTCAAGCATCTGCAGAAAGAGTCCGGTGGCCCATTTCACCACAACACAGAACTTTGACATGTTTCATTAATTAAAATAAACTCAGTGCTGCCGACACGAGCGTGAGAGAACCATGCAGGATTTGCAAATTTGTCTGCACTTTGCGAGTCTTTTGTGCAACATGATGGCACCGCCGCCTGTGATCTCTGTGTAAGCAGCGCTCGCAAATTGATTTCGTGAAATGCGCTCAGCGAGGATTGGCACGGTGGCTCGATCGTTTCCAGCAGGCGCGATGGAGGTGGAATGCGATGCAGCCGCTTTTAGTACACTCGAACGGTTGGAGATTTGCACTATAGACGGCCAGGACTGTTTTTGAAGTGCAGAAAAATCAGGTTATGTGAATTTCAATCTTGGCTGTAGTGTCTGATCTGTGTTTCTCTCTCTTTGTGTATGCCTCCCTCCAGCTGGCCAGTGGAGCGTTCGGTCACATCAAGGACACGGTGCTCTCTGCTCTGAACAGGGAGCCCACCATGGACATCTCCCCCGAGACTGTAGGCACTCTGAGCCTCATCATGCTGGCCCAGGCCCAGGAGGTCTTCTTCCTCAAAGCCACGTCAGGTACTAACTCTGCCACGCTTCTTCACATAAACACTGTAACTGTATTAGCTGCTCCTGTTGAGGTGACTGAACCTTTCAGCGCCGATAATGTCATGTAGAAAAGAACACAGATCAACTGTGCTGCTTTAAAAGTGCAATCTGTTCAGTTTTTTTGCTGTGTAGTGTATTTTGCAAGTCTCATGTCACAAATATAAAGAGGTGTTGTAGTTTGAATAAATGCAATCTTTATTTACAACTTCATGCTGGATTTTTATCTTGAGATTAATTTCTCGCGATGACGGGAGCACTTTTGATCCAGGTTGCACAAAGCGTCTGCCCCAGTTCTGTCAACAGCATTGCCTTTTTAAAGTTTTAAAGCGGCAAAGTTTTGAAGATTACATCATAAAAAGGCTCCCATTTGAAAATGTTAGACCTCTCATCTGCTGAGAAGTGCAGGTTTTAGTTGTAAATTAGTTTTGTAGGATGCAAGGGCAATTTCATCAGAGGGATGTTTTTAAATCGAGACGGTTGCCGCAGCTCCGAAAAACCCCCTCGGAGAATCTCTCCTAGGTAACATCCAGTTCGATTGAACCAAATGTCAGCGATCAGTTCAAAAAACCACAGCCGATCTGTTTGTGACGTGCGGTTTTCAAGAACACAGCCTCTTATCTTGAGTGTGTCCGCTGGTTGTATGACTTTACAAGTGGCCTCTTCACCCCATAGATAAGATGAAGGATGCTGTCATTGCAAAGCTGGCCAATCAAGCGGCAGATTTCTACGGCGACGCCTTCAAGCAGTGCCAGTACAAAGACAACCTCCCCAAGGTATGTGAAGAACACACACGCACACACAAACACACACACACACACAGTTACACACTAACCATGAAACCGCAGCAGACACATTCACAGTCAGCCATGTGTCCAGTGTGGTGCAGACACACAGAGTTTGGATCCTGTATGGCTCGGCGTGTGCATCGTCTCTGATTGTTTTGTGCGTGTGCTGTGTGGAAAACAGGCTCAGGTTGTGGGACTGTCCAATTCGCAACCTCTCTGTCCTCATTGGTCGACTTCCATCCTGTTCTCACTGTGATTGGTTGGTTCCTACTAAAACACAGTCGGACCTGTTTTCTTTCTGATTGGTTTTTCACCATCTAATCATAGGCATCTGAAGTACTCACTGTCTAACACTCTGACTGAAACACACACAGAAACACACACACCACCACCAAAGCTTCATGTTACACATTTTCTATTTTGAGGTTAAGTGAGTTAAAATAAAGTTTTATGTCTGTACATAACCTAATATGACGCCTTCAAATATGTTCAGTTTGCGGCCACAGAGGTGTGAAGAAACTAGAGAATAGTATATTTTAAGAAGCTGGAGAATTTAGAGATTTTTTTCTTCTTCCTTTTTAAAAAAAATACTCAAATTGATTAATCAATTATGAAACAATTTAATATAGATTAACATCCTGGCTGCTCTCCAAAGCTATAAACAACCATAAGAATCCTAATTTGAAATAGTGGCCTGTCTCAGCACCATGATAAAGGAAGAGTAAAACACCCAGTTGTATTATAATAAGGCAGATTTTGTTAACTAATGATCTCGTAGAAATAAAGCCAAATGACTGTCAATTTGAAGCCTCCATAAAGTGAATGCCCACCATGCTTCATTTTCATTTTACCTCGATTTTTATCACTCTCCCTCTTTGCCTGTTTTTCCTTTTCTGACAACGGGGCTCTTAGTTTGTAGTTTCCAGAGTTACTCGACTCTTTCAGCTGTAAGTCGAGCCTTTATTTTCCAGGGAGATTTCTTGCCAGGTGGCACAAACAATTGCAAAGTGAGAAGTGAGAACCTTATAGGGAACCGGCCTAAATGCAGACGGTGTTCTGTGGCTATTATTTTGCGCAATCAACATTTACTTTGTAATTATAAATTAAAGCAAAAAAATAAAAAAGAATTCTATTACCACTCTAAAAAGCGTGATGATTATTCAAAAAATAATCAGCAAAATAATCTGTGGTAACAGTCTTAATGCAAATGCAAACAAAACAAAGTCATGCCTACATTTAAAGATAATTGCCAGGTAAGTTTTATATGTTGTTTGATGCTTTAAGCCGTTTTCAGAGGGTTGATATTTCAAGTTAAATTGCTGCCGGTGATGCTACAGGCCATTGCTTTGACAGTGCTACACATGTTTCCAGAAAACTCTTTTCTAGTGGAGGTATCCATGAAGTTTTACAGTTGCTACCTGACTTAATAAATCACCAGTTTGAAAGAAGCTACAAGTTACTAAGAACCTTTTGAAGGATGCTTTTACTTGTATAGGATGAAGACGTCATGTTTTGTTTTCACACTGAACACAAGGTCAGGGACATCGATCCATATCTGGAAAGTAGCATCTGCGTTGTGCCCAAATACCTAAAATCCAACATGAACTGCTGTCATCACAAACACACACACACACACACACACACACACACACGGTTGTGGGTTGTTTGATGAAGGTGTAGCAGCTTTTGCTAAAAGGTTAAACACTCATGGCCTGTTCTGTTCTTCTCTCTCGTTGTCTTCCTTTCTTTCTGCATCCCTCGTGGTGGTGTTGGTGTTGGCACTTGGTTGTCTGTGTGTGCGCACGCTTGTGTTGTGTTTGCACACTCCTGACTGCTCGTGCCTGTTTGCGACTGGCTTTCGTGATGTCATCTGTGATTTGACCTCGCTGGTGTGCGTCTGCCATTTTGTGGTTTGCCTTGCCATCATGCGTGTGCGCGTGTGTATATATATGTTTGCGTGCCTGCGTGTTGCTCTGTGGTTGCCTCTCCCTGGTCAGTATTTTTATTTTCAGGAAGTGCTGCCGGTGCTGGCGGCCAAGCACTGCATCATGCAGGCCAACGCCGAGCTGCACCAGAGCGTCCTGGCCAAGCAGAAGAAGCGCTTTGGAGAGGAGATCGCTCGTCTGCAGGTACGCGGATTGACCGTGATTTTTATCTCGTTCCACGCTGTCAGCAAGCATCTGTCATAACTTCACATGATGTGCACATTGTCATTTTCATAAATTCCCCTCCGCAGTGCTTCAGAGAGAACTTCAGAGAAATTAGAATTTGACAGACTTGCCTTGAAGTTCCACATTAAAACCCAGAAAATTTATTCATGAAGTAAATTTTCCCTCCTGTTGATCACTTCAGCACGCAGCAGAGCTGGTGAAGACGGTGGCGTCTCGCTACGACGAGTATGTGAGCGTCAAGGACCTGAGTGACAAGATTAACCGAGCTCTCGCCGCAGCCAAAAAAGACAATGACTTTATCTACCATGACCGTGTGCCTGAAGTCAAGGACCTGGAGCATATCGGCAAGGCAGCGCTGGTCAAAGCTACCGCCATCACACCTCCAATCAGCCAGAAATTCACAGGTACGACACATAGACACACTTTCCTGCCACTCTACATGATTTGAGACATTTACATGTGACATTAAAATGGATTACACAACACACACAAATAAGTCTAAGAGAAACAACCATGTGGGACTGCTGCTGCCGCCGTTACCTCAAACTGTGGTCCTGACTGCAGCCAATGAATTAAAGCAAAAACAACATGCAGTATTTTTAAAAAATATTGATTTTGAGTGTTATTGATTATCTCAACTAATCGAGGCAACTTTACTCCACTCTTCAAGTAGATTGCAGAACACTGGTTGCTCATCACATCCATCATCAGGCTTTTTTTCTTCTTTTTTTTTTAAATCACATACTCTTAAACTGTTTCCCTCCCTCACACTGGAAAAATAAAACACACTGTGAGCTGAAATCTTTATAGCTAATTCCCATTTAAACACATTAAAGACAGCAGTCATTTATGGTTTGGACCCTCTCTTTATTATCTACTACTCTTTCACAGCAGATGGAATCTCATCTACAACACACGCTGACTTGATTTCTAATCAGTTGACTGTGTTGATCTTTTCAGACTTGTTTGAGAAGATGGTTCCCATGGCGGTGCAGCAGTCCATGAGCATTTACAACCAGAGAAAGGGGGAGACTGTGAACAGACTGGTGGGAACGATGAGGGAGGCTACCAATCTCTGCAACGGGTACGCTGCGCTGTCTCTATGAGTTGTTTTGCTTGTGCTTGGCGTTCATTGTCTTCCTATGAACATAACAATGAGTGCCTCTGTTAGGATATTGAAAAATTCATAACATAATGGAGCACTAGGTAGCATTAAAATGTCAATAAAACTACTCATGTTTCTAGTGTAGCGCTCTGAGTACCAGTCGAGCACGTCTATCACATTATTTGATGATACTAGCAAGTGCTTAAATTTGCTGTGTTTCATCGAACAAAAAGATGAACTTTATTTAAAAGTTTTAAAACAGTGGGGAAAAATTTTGGGTATAGAATAATTTTACAGTGCACAAATAAGATTAAACTTTATGAAAGCAGCTTTTTTTGGTCTCTAGGTAGAGGTTAGTGTTTGAGAAACCCTAATAACTGAGATGATGTGTAACTCCGGCAGGGTGTTGGCATCCCTAAACCTGCCAGCTGCTCTGGAGGACCTGTCCGGAGACTCTATCCCACAATCCATTGCTGAGAAGGCCAGATCCATTGTGCAACAGGGAGGACTGCAGAGCATCGAGCAGCTAATCAGAGACCTGCCTGAACTGTTGACTCGCAACAGGGAGATCCTGGACGAGGTGAGCGATAGAGGCACACGGAGACACGCTGCATTATAAATGACCACATACCAGAGGATAAACCTCTCACCCCTCAGTGCTTATTGTGATTAGAAATCACTTTCAAAAACTGAAAGAAGGCACTTTCAGAACTACAGGCTCCAAACAGCTTGTTTGTCATATGGCTTTGCTTTCTTGACTAAGTAGCATATGAATCTTATGCTGTTTAGAGGCTGACTTGGATGCCATGAAAGTTGGAGTTTTCCACCACCGACACCAGAAGAGCACATTAATGCTAAAAACTCATAATCGTTCCTAATGGCGGAAATCCCAGATTAGGATCATCACAGCAATCTAATCCACTGATCTCTGGGCCAAGGACTGTCTGTCCACCAGTTTCAGCCAACCCATTTTTAAAAAACATCTTGAAGGCAAACAAATAACAGACGGAAGGAAAAACATAAATCATAAAGCACAGTCTGCTTCCAAGTTTGTTGGCGGAGTTGAATAGTCCAAACCAAAATGCCCTAATTTCCCCAAAAAGCAGTCACTTGTGTTGTGTAGAGACACGGAGCCAAGCTGAAACTATAAAGTAAACAACTGCGGGCCAAAAACAGACTAGTCTTTATTGAGTTTTTTTTTTTTTTTTTCATGATTATTTTTAAACTCCAGTCTTGACTTTAAAACACATGAATGTAGTGCTGAAAGTATGAAGGAATTAATTGACAGGAAATTGAACCGACACAGAAAATCATCACCAATCTAAATTATTTGTTAAGAACAGTTATTGGCTTTTGCTTGTTGTACGGTGGGTATAAGGTGATTTCTAAAATAGCCCTCAGATATCTCATAATTATTGAGCACAAAGCCCAGGTGGCAAACGGCTACTGAGCGTGTTATTAAGGTGTTTTTAGTTTTGCTTAGCCAGCTCATCCTGTAGAACTCTAATGGTGTGGCTGCACCTTACTATCACTCTGTTATGGGGGGAAACGCACTCTGGCTTGTTTGTGTTTCTTTAAACAAATCACAGTCGTCTTGGGTGGATGCGGCTTCCGTGTTCCCACAGGAAGACGAGCACCTTCATTATGTAGATTACCCACCAAACAAACTCCTAACTATTTTCAGTATTGTAGGTTGCTACATGTAAGTTAATGTTATTGTTTCCCATAGTGAAGACGATTTTAAAAACAGTAATGCACGGAAAGCAAAACAGAAGCACAAAGGCACCTGAACTTAGTGTCCAATGGCAGGCTTATCCAATGGCAGCCGACATCCGGTGTGTCAGATTAAGGTGTTCACAACCGCTGTCTCCACTCAGCATGTGTGTGTTTTTGTCTATCAGTCTCTGAAGATGCTGGACGATGAAGAGACGACAGACAATGAGCTGAGAACCAAGTTCAACCAGCGCTGGAACAGAACCCCCTCTGGAGACCTGTACAAGCCCCTTCGTGCAGGTACAGCATGAAAACCTGTCACTCTTGTTTCCCTTTAGCCACGTATGTCTCCTTTTGTCTGTGACCTTACTCCTCATTTTTCCATTTAAAAAAAAATAAAAAATTCCTTTCTCCGTGTCATGTTCCCTCTAACTCCCCACCCTCCTTCTTCTCCCCCAGAGGGTGCTAACTTCCGCAACATCTTGGACAAGGCGGTGCAGGCCGACCAGGTGGTGAGAGACCGCTACAATGCCCACTGTGACATGATCACCCTGCTGTGTAAACCCGAGAACGAGCTCAACGCTGCCATCCCCTCCGCCAACCCGACCAAGACACTGCAGGGCAGCGAGGTCTGTCCATTGTCTTCGTATTTTTTTTGTTTGTAAGACCAGATAATGTGAAAAGTTTTTCTAGTTATGGTAAGTTTTTTGAGTTTGGAGTGTGTGTCACGTCATCCAGAGGCCTTTTCTGTGTCACATAAACACAGACTCCTCCTGCACCAAAAACACCCGGTGGACGCTGTGTGCTTTATAGCCCTTTCCCTCCTCCCCACAGTAGCTCCATTTTTCATTTTGTTTGCTGACTTTGCATTGTGTTTCACTGGGGAGCTTAAATAACTAAGCAAGCAGAACTGGGAAAGAGCGAGGAAGAGGTGCACGTCTCTCCAGCTACAGTGTTTTCAAACAAAAGGTGTTGAGCTGTGCTGTAAATTGCTCTCACCATGACAAGGGTGAGAGGTCAGGCATTAAATAAGGCTAGCGCACCGAAGGAGAAAAACGGATGGAAAGGTGAAGGTGTCATGTCCCCACCAGGTAGTGAACGTGCTGCGCTCCCAGCTGGCCCAGCTGGACGAGATAAAGAAGGAGAGGGAGACCCTGGAGGGGGAAATCAAGGCCGTGACCTTTGACATGTCCACCACCTTCCTGACGGCGCTCGCCCAGGACGGAGCCATCAACGAGGAGCAGCTGTCCCTCTCTCAGCTCGACCAGTTGTACAGCGCCTACAACCAGAGGGTGCAGGCCAGCCTCCGCTCACAGGAAGAGCTGCTGGGACAAGTTCAGGTACACAAACGCACGCACAGTCTCCGTAGAAAGCACCGATTAAGCAGCAGTGTGGCCTCTTGTTGATTTCTTTTATTAGTTCATGTGTCTGCACTGCTCCACTAAAATTACTGAACAAGCATTAAAAAAAAAAGAAGCTTATCTTGGCCGCTGATCTCCATCCGAGCTAGAAAAGTGAATTTCTTTACTGGAATTTTCTGAAGTATTACCCGTATCAAACAAAAACCACATGCAAGCAGTTCACACAGTTCACACAGCAGGTGCAGATGAAGTCCAAAGAAGTGAATAAAATCTGGTTTGGCCTCTGAATGGCAAAGTGCCTTGTGTGCAAAGAAATATCTCCAGTTTACAGTGCATGAATATACTTCTTACTAAGTGGCAGAGGTTAACCACTTCAGTCTGAGCTTCACTCTTCTCACCCCTGTGATCTTCCTCCAGACGTCCCACCAGGAGTTCAGCAGTCTGAAGCAGTCCAACACGGAGGCCAACCAGAGGGAGGAGGTCCTGAAGAAGCTGGCTTCAGCCCACGACAGCTACGTTGAGATCAGCAGCAACCTGCGCGAAGGCACCAAGGTACTCACTCAGCACAATGCCGGCACACACCAGCCTCAGCAACCAGGCTGCGATAATGCATATCTCGTCAGAAACTTTCCACTTTTGTTTGTGTTTTTTTGCGCGTCAAGGTGGTTTGCAAAGCAGGTGATTTATTTTTTTGCCCCCTTTTTTGTTCCTCCCTCCTCAGTTCTACAACGACTTGACAGAAATCCTGCTTAAGTTCCAGAACAAATGCAGCGACATCGTTTTCGCTCGTAAGACAGAGCGGGATGAACTCCTCAAGTACGTACCTACCGGGTTTTTATTCATTTCACTGATTTGTGTGACAGTCATTTTAAGATTGAAGGGTCGGCTGATAAGGATTTCTTTCTAGTTTTTTGTCTGATCTTGAGTTTTAACACTGAAGGCAACAGCTTTAGTTTCACAAAGTGTTACAGGAGTAATTTCTTTCTTTCATATTCAGGTAGTCAGGAATGATTTTGGGTAGGAGTAGTTATCCTCAGGCCACCTGATCAACCTGACAGTAGATGAGAGGCTGTCAGGTCCTAATGTGAGGAAAACACTACAGCCAATTGTGACGTTTGAATTCTGCTTGCAGGGAGCTGCAGCAGAGCATCGCTCGAGAGCCCAGCGCTCCATCCTTCAACGTTCCTGCCTATCAGAGCACCCCTGCTACCCCCGGTACCCCCGCTGCCCCTGCTGCCGGCCCAACCCCCGCACCCAGAACCGTCTTTGTAAGTAGCTAAACCCTGAATGCCTGAGCTTTATAGAAGTCTGATGGCGCTGTACTGATCTGTGTCTCTGCCTTCTAGGCCGGGCAGCCTCAACAACCCCAGCCGCCTAAGTCCCAGCCCCCAGCCAGACCACCTCCACCGAACTTCACCCCTCAGGCTGTCGCCACCAATCCCACCAACACACCGCCCACTGGCGCCCCCAGCAACAACCCACCACCTGTGGCCCCTCCCTCCCAGGCCCAGGGACCACCTTACCCCGCCTACCAAGGCTACCCACAGTGAGTTTTCCATCCCAGCGTAGAAGAGTCTGAACACAGTTTGACCTGCATTAGTTTTGACTATTGGCCTCCTTTTTGAGCTTGCTTTTACCAAAATCAAATCAAATCTGTTCTCTTTCATCTTTCTTTGTTTACTAGCAAAAGGCAATTTAGAAAACATCCAGGTATCAGGCTTCTAATTTTTCAGCCAATGCTAACCTTCTCTGTCACCGATTAACATGACAAACGCTGTACCTTATTGATGCGGATTTTAAAATGACTGATAAACTTGGCCGCTGTGAGGTGAGCAAGCTCTCTGTGTCTGCCAACGATTGATAGTGAGTGAGAAGAAACATCACTCTGCAACGCCACAGTACGACTCAAAGTGGACTGAGCAGAGAGATGATTCCTCTCGAGATAAATGACCCCAATGATCAGTTTTCTGAGAATCTTCCAGTCGAATGCGTATCGATATTTTAAGCTCATCAAGTTAATAATTCAGTACACGCAGTCCAGTATTTGGAGCAAGTAATTTGTGGGAAAAAAAAAAAAGGTGTAAAAATGAGTAGGCCACAGCTGTGATTACAGTGTGATGATGACACACGTCCACGTCTTCATTTGCTCATCTCGTTTTCATGTTGCAGCTACAGGTTGAATGTAAATTAAGCTGCCACCAAAAGTACAGTCTCTCAACATCATACAATTTTTAAAATCAGATTTAATTTTACTTGTTGCAAATGTTTTAAGGGAAACCTAATAGGATACTGTAAGCGTGCATTCCCATTTGACAGGTTTGTGTCTGTTAAATTGAACACAGCACAGACTGAATGAATGAAAAGCAGGTTGCGTTCTTTTGCCGACCTGGTTCTTCTCATCATTGTTTCCTGTTTCAGTTCAGTTCAGGCGTCGGAATACTCTTCAGCATATCTTCGTTTCTGGTCCTTCTTTGACTCTTTCATGCATTTTATTAGCTCGTCCTGAGCTCTCAGCTGGTAACAGTGCCATCACATTACAGAAAAACTAATCAAACAAGTGTGAGTAGTCCAGCACACATTGTTTTGGTGATTCGTCAAGTTTCATTGGAAATTGTAAGTCCTAAAAGCTGTCCAATCAGGTTGTGATCTTATATATATGGTATTTGTTTTGTATCTTTGGTGTGAGAGTAAAAATGTCAGTGTGGAAGCTAAACAAAACAGGACTAACGTGGATCATTTCTGCAAAGTGTGAAGATGCTATAAAACCCCAACCATACCTCTAGCTCTGTATACTGAGGTCAGATAGTGTGTCCTGATTATTTCAGGATTACTTGTTTCACAAGTACTTTGCTGTTTTTCAAAATTTTAACAGAGATGTAGCCCAGTTGTCCAATTTGGCTGAACTGGAAACAATGGATTTGACTGAGTACCTGTTTCAGCTACAAATAACACACGATGGTTGAGATCTAGCTGAAGGCCTCTCTGAAACTTCCTTTGTCCGTTGTTGTGTCCGTGCAGGTACTTCCAGATGCCCATGGGCTACAACCCCTACCCTTACGGCCAGTACAACGTGCCCTACATGCCCTACCAGGCGACCCCAGGACAGGGCGGATACCCAGGAGCCCCTCCAGCAGGACAGCCCTACCCCGGCTACCCCCAGCAACCGCCCCAGCAACAGCCCTACTACCCTCAGCAATAACTCTCCTCCTGGTCTCCTCATTCCTCCTCTCACATGTTAACACCAAATAAAAATATGTCCCCAGCAATAACACTTCATCTCCGTCAGCCCTTCCCCCTCTGATATTTTTTCTCACTAACAGCAGCTGTTTGAAGGCGGACCTCAGAGCTGCTTTGCACTTCTCCCTGAAAACCTTCAATACTTTTGCGTACTTTATTCCATACTACCCAAAAAAAAAAAAAAAAA